AGAGAAACAGGGGCGGACGGCCGTCTGCTCTAGGTGGACGGCCGTCTGCCCCCAACGGCAACCCATGGACGGCCGTCTGACAAGAGTGGACGACCGTCTGCCCCTAACGAAAACCTCTGGACGGCTGTCTGGCAAGGGTGGACGGCCGTCTGCCCTCCTACGGCTCCTTCTGGACGGCCATCTGCCTTAAACGAACGGCCATCTGCTCTTTTTTTGTTGTTTTATTATTTTTTTTCTTTTGTTTATTATTTTTGAAGGAAATAGGACCTTATTCATCAACATCTATGCATGTAATGTTCATGATATGCAACTTATAATGCTATTTCAATTAATTACTTTCAGAAAAGTTAACTGATGTACTCCTGACGGGGGAATTCTTCTGGTGTTACCTTCAGCTGTACCATTTCTGCCGTTTTGGATTTGCCTTAATCGAAGAATGATCGTGATGAAGAGCTATTTCGTCATACTAGTGTGCTTCTTCCCCTCTTTTGGAATTTCAATCCTCCTATTGATTACTGTGCTTTCATATTACCTGGTTAATCGCTAGAATATCATAGTGATAAGGATCAAGAGAAAAGAAGGAAAAGGATGATTAAATCAAAGGTTTGTGTTTTTAGAGGGGATTTCTTGAAACCAATGGTATCTGTAAGCACGGCTAGCCAAGGTCGGTCAAACTGTTTAGGCTTAGCTTAAACAAACGTTTGTTTGCGGGGTTGCGTCTTTGCTTGGTGAGCTTTGCGGCGCCTGCTAAGACTTATTGTCTTTCTTAGACCGCCCTTCGGGTTTTCAATCTAGGATGTTGCGTTTCGTCCTAACTTTTGTTGGGGTTTCTTTTTATTATGCTTTAGAAACCCTAATGGACTCCGTTTTTGTAACCCTATCTTTTGCCTAGGCTACCCTTTATCATTGGTCGGGTTTCCTAGCGGGTTGACCCTAACTTTTGCGTAGCCCCCTTTTGTGGGTTTCCTACCGGGTTAGATGCCCTTTCTTTTTGGCCTTTGGCTTTTATGGGCTTTCTTATTTATTTTGGCAATGTTGGCAAATCATGGTTTCACTATGATGGGGTAAAACCTTATTCGTGTTTCTTGATCAATCAATGATGGTTTAATTTGTTTTTTTTTTTTATTGTTGGTGCGCTTTCAAGTTTTTAGACGCCTTTTATAAACGTTTGCTTAAGCATGGTTATTAATGGGGCGTAAACATGAGTAGTAAGAAAAGAAGCAGATAGTAAGAATTATATTCTCATATGATTAAAAGGGTAATATGTGCCCAGAAAATGCCCGGGGGTCGGGCTGCCCCCGGGGAATAATCTCTAATAGTCATTGGGTTTACATTCCTTAAAAAGTGGAAGAAGAACACCTAATGACTAAAGTTGCTCCTGACGCTTGTATCCCTCCGCTTCGAAAGATTTGATTCAGCGGGCGGAGGGGAGACTTTCCCTTTATTCTTGTATTAGGGTTGTACCCTAGACCGCATTTCAAAGGATTGTCCTTGAAATCTGGTGGCTCTCTTATTCCTTGGGAATTTGTACCGAGTCCCTGGCCTGGGCGGTATCCGTATTTTGTCATCATATGTGCCAACCTCATGTTGTTGGGAAGTCTTTCAACATTGGCAATCTCTAGGGCCTGGAAGGATGTTTCGATGGCCTCTTCTGTTGTATCCACATAAGGTAGGGTAGACGACTTGCTGATCAAGATGTCATCTTCGGCTTGAACTGTGACCAGTTTGTCGCCTACCACGAATTTGATCCTTTGGTGGAGCATTGATGGGATTGCTTTGGCATCGTGAATGCAAGGTCTGCCGAGGAGGCAACTGTAAGCAGGAGTGATATCCATCACATGAAAGTCCATGTTAAAAATAGTGGGACCTACCCGGATTGGTAGATTGATTTCTCCTACTACCTCACGTTTTGATCCGTCGAAGGCTCGAATGATGGTGTTGCTTGGACGCATATGGGCTCCTTGAATTGTCAATTTGTCGAGCGTGCACCTAGGCATGACGTTCAGGGCTGACCCATTATCCACCAGGACTTTGGCGATGAGGTATTCTTTACACTTGACGGATATGTGCAAAGGCTTGTTATGGCTCGACCCTCCAGGGGGAAGTTCTTCATCGGTGAAGGTTGTTAGAAAAGTAGTTTTAGATCAAGAGGGGGGTGAATTGATCTTTGAAAGTTTTTCGCAATTCACAGATTATCTAACATACTTATCCTTTGTGAGATGAATTATAGCCCTGAAAAGCACATTGAACAAATTGCGCAATGAACTTATGATGCTCAAGAGATGGTAGATAAACAAACACACACAATCAAATGTACATAAAATTTGATAACTTGAAATTGTAAATCAAATAGCCAATAATATGGAGACAAATTCTCGACGAACTATAACCCTAAAAAGCACATTAAACAAATTGTGCAGCCAGCGACATTCAAGAGATGGTAGATGAACAAAACACACACAATCAAATGTATGTAAATTTTTAGAGCTCAGATGTGAACCAAATAGTCGATAACATGGAGACACAAATTCCAAATGAACTATAGCCCAAAAAAGTACATTGAATAGATTGTGAAGTGAGTTTATGAAATTCAAGAGATGGTGCATGAACAAAACACATATAATTAAATCTATGTAAATTCTGATAACTAGATGTGAATCAAACAGCCAATAATATGGAGACACAAATTCCAGAAGAATTATAGCCCTAAAAAGCACATTGAACAGATTTTGCAATGAACTTAAACGTTCAATAGATGATAGATGAACAAAACACACACAATCAAATGTATGTAGAATTGTATAACTTGGATGTCAACCAACTAGCCAATAATATGGGCACACAAATTCCGATGACAAATGATTAATAAGATATTCTGATGACAAATGATTAATAAGATAGGTGTTGATAAGATTTCTACTCAAAATTTATAAAACACTGAAGATGCAGCGAGCAAAGTGCTGACAACATTCAGAAGATGACCGTTTTTTTTGTTCATCCATTCCATTCTATTGAGGTACATAAGGACATGAGCATTAAGAAATTATGTCTTTTTGTGACAAAAATTCTTGAAATTTATGAGACACATGCACCACCTTTATCAGATTCTAAAATTTTCAAATATGTAGAAAACTTATTTCCAACAAAGGAAACAAAAATCTGAAAAATATGTATAGTTTACCCTTATGGCAAAGAAAATACACTCATGTGAAATTGACTATTGTCATAAATGAACATTACTAAATACTATAATTACTATGAGAAGTAACCGGCAAAATACCCCATGTATCACTATGAACTATATCAAAACATTTGGTAGCACGATCATCAAGAAAATGGAAGGGTAAAATCTCACTTTTGCTAAGTTTGCATGAAAAACAATTAATAGACAATTCATGATCATAAGTCTGATCTTTATTTCCAAGAAGTCAAGTTGAAACAAATGTCTTAAAATTTGAGAGTTAGGGTGACTCAACCTTAAGCCACACATCACTATGATAATTATTAGTACTACAAACCAAAGATGAGGTTCTAGGAATAGAAACTGCAAGGGAAGTAGTCTTCCCACTTCAGGTCCCTTCCCCATCACTTATCCTGACACTGAATCATCATGTACAAGACAACCATTACAAGAGAAAGAGATGTTACATTTATTATCTACTAGCTCTCCAACTGAAATCAAATTAGTAGATGTTCCCGGTGACACAAAGACATTCTAAAAGTTCATAGAGCATAATGCGAGAGTTCAGTTTTAATTGGACTAAATGCCACTCATCATTGAGAAAATCCCATTTAAATAAAGTCTTTGATGTTATAAAGGAACCTTTGCATATAGCCATTCAAGGAAACTTTGCCTAATACATCATTAATTTACAGCTATTCAAATCTGTTAATTAATGAAATAAAACAGAAAGTAAATCAGCAAATAATATTGTAATGAAATTATATAGAAATCACTAAGGAATAAATAAATTAAGGATTTACCTAATTGGGTTGATAATAGGTGTGAAAAAAGCTCATGTCAAGTGGCCTAGTTTGATTTACTGATGGTGATTGTATCTAGGGGTATCAATATGGATTGTAACCTGTGAGCCAACCCGGCTCACCAGGGGTTCGAGCCAAGTTAGGTTCAAGTTTTTTCATTTCTACCGATCATGGGTTAAAAATGAACCCGGCCTATCCACGGATTAAACAAGTTCGAGTCGAGTTACTGTAGGTTGACCCGTAACCCACCATCATTTTAAATTTTAAAAATAATTATAATAATTTAGTAATTCTAATTGATGTTATCTTGCCTCTTCACCTCTACTCCATGTCACTACTACAAGTTAAACCCTCTCTCAAGTTTATCACCAATTATTCACCATTACACTTAGGCCACTTACCATCCTTCTGCTGCACCACCATGCCATCGTGTTTATTGTGTTTGCCGCACCACCACATTTCAATTGTGTCACAGTGTTTGTCACGTTTCAGATGTTCCATAGCTTTTGTCGTACCACAATGTTTCAGTAGCGCCACAACGTTTGCCACGCCACCACACCACCATACTTCAGTTGCACCATAGGATTTGCCATATTTCATTCGCATCACAGTGTTTGTCGTACCACCGCGCCATTGCATTTTAGTCCCACGATTCAGTCATGCTTATTAAAAAAAAATTGAATAACAAAAAAATAAATGTGGGTTAGTGAACAACCCACCAACCTGTAATGGATTTATTCGGGTTGTGAAATTTCAGGCTCACCATAAAATGAGCCGGGTTGAAGTCGTCTATTTTCAGCTCAGTATGTGGTAAGTCAACCCATGTGAGCCGGTTTTGGCTCACTTTGACACCTCTAATTATATCTTATTATCTAGTAAAAGTTTGAAACAGTTTTAAATCAAAATGGCAATTTCAAACATGGAAAATAAAATATGTCAACCCAAGGTTGTAACAAAGATAAAAGAAGAGTGTTTAGCAACTTCAAACAAATTGTAATAAAATCAATTCCTACATCTTAAGTAATATTTTTTACCAAGTGTCCGATCCCTGGTACCCCTCTTTGGTAGAAGAAAGAAACAGCATGGGCTGCTTTAACTGCAGTGAGTGCTCTGAAAGAGAATAGTTAATTGTGCATAGATGAGAGGAGCACAACTGGTGTGATAAGTGGAGAGGAGAATGATTCTGATGCTACCGGCATAAGATGGGATAAACAGGAAAGGAAGATGCAAGGGGAGAAGGCAGTACTTTTGGTATTTGGGAGCAGGGTCTTTTTTTCTGTTTTCTTGTAATTTCACTGCATTAAATTGGGTTAACTATGAATGAAGAACCTAGTCTCCATATTTTCTTTTCTGGAAAATCAAGTTATAATGTTTATTCTGTTTTCAATATCTCCATTTAATGTATAGAGTAAAAACCATGTTTGCAAATGACAGTTATAATGATATTCAAAAAGTACCTACATGTTTATCTGATCTCTATAATGATATTGAAGCTGCCATACCTGTATGGATAAGAATCCCACCACATCCCATGCACAGATGTATCATTGATTGGTAAAAGTTGAACTAAATGGAAACCAGATGCTACAGCCCAGTCAACTAGTAACTTAAGGTCAAGAAACTCTCCAACACCCAGATCAGATTCCGACCTAACAGAAAACATGGGTATAGCTACGCCAGCACCACGCCAAGGTGTTTCCTATCAAATAGAACCAACAACTTAAAACTACAAAAATAAAATAAAAAGTAAAAAAACAAAAGAAGAACAATCTCTGAACCAATAATGTAATATCAGAATCATACCCGCATCATGCCATCTGACAGAATAATATATTTCACCTCATTCTTTGAGGAGTTAGTAGAAACTTCGCGGTTTGAACCACTTTCTATAGAGAAGTTCCCACTCCTGTCATATTTTCCATATCTATATGTGGATATTACTGTTAAGGAAAAACATAAAGCTCGATGAAATTACTTATTGAAACATATGAAACCAATAACCCCATAATTTCATCATATAGTTTATTGTATATGATGAAAAGTCCAAAATGGATATCTTATTGGAAAATCACTCCTGTGCATCAGACATTCAGCTTTCCAGACAGATTCACCAAAATAGCTGAGTTTTAGTCCATTTTCAGCTTTCCACTGTCCCAACTTTGTATTGCTACCAATGACATATATCTGCAAAAGTTAAAGAAAGGTCATTAATTCAAGGTAAGTGGAAACCTTTTTCAATCACAACTCCGAGAGTACCATTATACACATAATGTTTTTAACGAATTCACAGTGCATGCAATAAACAACATTAGTCATTTGGGATAAAGAGGTCTCACTGATGAGTTTTTCTCTACATTTGGGCAGGAAATTTTGAACTGGACCAAGATAGCTTCTCCTAATCATCAAAAAAGAGTTAACTGAAAAATAATAAACCAACATTCATTCACAACCTAAAAAGTCCCAATATTTAACTTGAAACAATTTACCTTTCGGTTCAAAATTGATGTGGTTGACTCCTCCTGTCGCATGGCTCAAATCCCAGCTTTGCCGAAAAATGACATCTTTGAAAGCACTTCTGAAAGGGAGGGCATCTGAGCCAGCCTGGACTTGACAATAAAATAAGTAAAGATCTTGAGAATATAGTTTTAAAAACTAATAATTTTATTCTAACTAAAATTTATTGAATTACATTAAACTGCTAGAAGTAATTTCTACACTAACTTTGAGAGACTGCACCAAGTGAAATATTTTGGCAAAACTCTGAGCAAAAGGATCAAGGAATAATAGCTGATCGATGAATTATTTTATTCTATTGGCAACTGAGAAAATATCAGATTACTGAACCCAAGTGGAAAACAAGAAAAGCATCTTCAGAATCTGCACAATGTGCTCAATAATATTTTTGTATAGCTTTCATTCTTACAGCTTCCAAGTAAAGAACACACTGAAAAGGTCTACTACTGTGTAACATCATTTAACAAAATGAATCTAAATCTATCAGGTATGGCAGTAAAACTAAGATATATCTTTACAGAAGCAACAAAAAGCAACTTTAGAAAAGTGGAATGAGAGAAAGGCAGCACCTGCCAAAGATCACGGAACTCGATCTCCTGTCCACTCTGAACACCTTCAGGGAGTATCAGTTCGCGCTTCTTCCCCATCTCCCATCTCAGTACATTTTTCTTATCATCTACAACATAATAGCTGTACTGGCATTGGAACCCTCTTGGCACTGTGATGCTTCCACCCCAGATGAGCTCACTCCCCTGATGAATAACACTGAGCAACACACCCCTTTTCACATTCCAGGCACCAAGCACCGGTACAGAGCCACAAACCAGCAAGCTCTGACCCCATTGGGTAAAATACGGTATCCGAAAGCTTACTTTCACCGAATTCACGGACTTATTCCCAGAAAACAATCCTGGATTCACCATACCTTCCAAAACGAATAATGACAGAGCAAAAACAACTCAACTTCAGGCCAAAAATTGAATTTTTTATTAAAAAAAAGTGCAGCTATCAGTCCTGATGAAAGATCAGAGTCAGACAAATCCACAATATATGGAAAGCATCAAAGTTACAAGTTCGGGGCACTAAGCTCACATTCTATGGGACTCAGACCAATAAGAAAAAAATGAAATGATTAAGCAAAACTCAAGTTAACTTTTTTAGCATTTTTATGAAATGCTTCAATTCGTTCATAACATGTTTTGGCCTGGGATTCCAAATCGAACACCACATGCCCACTGAACATAATTAAATTAACAGAATTCCAGAAAGTGAAATGAGTTGAATAAAAATCTACCCTTTATGTGAAAACACAAAGATACCTGGCTGGAGAGAGAAACAGGGAGAGTGATTCAGCTCACCTTTTCTTCAAGCAGACGATATGATATTGCGTATTTTAAATGGAAGTGTTGGAGAAGCCTTTGTCTGGTTCGAAGAGAAACAAAGTGGGGAGATATTTTGATTAAAAAAAAAAAAGTAGAATGTGCAAATTGAGAAGGAAAAACAAATAGAAGAAAGACGTTTCTAGCTCTTAGGATTGATACGTACTGTATGTATGGGTGACAGAGAGAGATGACATTGTGATATTTATTTCTCGATATGAGTGCGGGCAAGAACGTGTTGCTAATTGCTATCATCATACTTTCATCACTCATGGCTGATACTCATTTGATCTGTGATTCGGTAACTAAATCTCCCAAATCCTCGTTCTGTAATGGACTTCTCCAATTGACTGCGAAATACGAAAGTATTTCTTTTTTATTTCTCAAAATACAAATAGAGAAAACTACTATTTACGTAATTTATTAACAATTCTTTACTAAAAAATAATTATGAAAATAAATAAATGATTCTAAAATCATTTGCTTTTTATCGTATTACTGAAAAAGTAAACGATCGATTTGATATCGAATAAGAAAATTGATAATTATTTAGTCCTTAAAAAAAAAAAAAAAAAAACTTAACTTTACTACATAAACTAGGCATCTCAACGGTGAAGCAGCACGGTTTTTTTTTCTGTCAAACCTTTTTAATCATCCCATTCCTTTTTCCATCTTAGTCGAGTTAAAAGTATGTACGTAAAAAATTATTTTTTTATATTAAAATACTTATAATATTATATTTAAATATTTAATTATATATATATATAAATTAATTATTTTTAAAATTTTAATTCTAATAGAGTTAAAAATATATATGTGAAAAAAATATTTTTTTATATTAAAATATTTATAATAATAATAATATTATAATTATATATTATAATATTATATTTGATTATATATTATCATTTAAAATTTTAATAATATAAAATATATAATATATTAAAAAATATTTAATAAGTTATTTATTATTTAATTAGTTTAATATAATAAAAAGTTTAATTATTAATTATTTTCAATTTTTTAAATACAATTTTTTTATTAAAATAAAATTTTATCTATGATAAATAAAAATAATAAAATCTAGAAAATATGATATAATAAAACTTAATAAAATTAAATTAAAAATAATATAATATAATTTATTACTATAAATTGATGTAGAATATTAGAAAGAGCTAAAGAAGAATAAAAATTAACTTTCGAGTTTGTAAAATTGGTTGAAAATTTTGGAAAAAGTAAATTGATGGAAAAGATTAACAACATGTGAATGAATGTAAGAAAAAAAAGTAATAAAATGATTGCTCTTTGAAAAAAATAAAAGGTTGAAAAGTGGTTATTTTTTATACACTATTTTTCTTTTCTTTCATAAATTTTTTATTTTTATTTTTTTCATTCACTTCTTATTTGTTTTTTTTTTATCTTAAGTCTCTTGTTTATCTCTCTTCATCCCCTCATCCGTTTATTCTCCTAATCAAACTATCATATTAAAATTTAAATATTTTAAAATAAATATTTTAAAGATAACATTGAAACTAAAAAATATTAATTATTTATTTAAAATTATAATTTGATGATAAATTATTTTATTTGTGATGATGTAAATAAATAATTTAAATTTTTTTATCATAATAAATAATTACTTATCCAATTAAAAAATATCAAATATTTATAGGTTACAAATATTTTTTATTTAATAATTTAATCTGTATATAAATAGGTTGAGTTATGATAATTAGTTAGATTAGGTAATTTTAAAAAAATATTTATTAAAAAATAATATAAAATAAATATTTAATTTTTTTCTTAATAAATATAACAAAACAATAATATGTGTAATATCTTAAATTTATCCTTTTTTTTAATATAATATATTAAATTATAGTATTTATAGACTATTTATATATTTTTATTTTCTACTAATAATTGGAAGAAGAAAGCATGCGACATTTTGAGAGGCGAAAAAATGTGATTGTAAAGTTATGTTATACATTTATTGGTATGTCAATGAAAGTAAATTTGAGAAGATTTCATTGGCAAACTCGGCGAAAAGTGATGCGACTTCAAACTTTGGGTTGTCAGTATGACTTATTGTGAATGAGAATGTAAGAAATCATCCAATAATACTTTGCAAGATTGATGTCAATCACAAACTTGATGAAATCATGTGGTGAAAGTTTGAAAGAACGAGTGGTGATAGAAAAGGTGTTGAGAACCCTTAATACTAGGTTCGATATAATTTTTGTAACTATCGAATAATCTAAGGATATCGATTTGTTAAAACTGGATAAATTGCAAGGGTTATTAGAGACTCACGAATTGCGGTTAATTTTGGTAAATGAGAGAAGGAAGAAGTTTGATGACAAAAGTTAAAAGTTAATTTTGGTATGATATCATTCAACTAGTGCATATAAGTTGTATGATCCTATCAAGAAAAAGATAATCATCAATATAGATGTTGTTGTTGATGAGAAAGATTGTTGGACATAGGTTTAGATGGTGGAAAATCGAAGTGTTAGCTTTGAAGGTTCAGATGTTGCAAAAATTAAAGGAAAGATCGATTGTTGAAATCGAAGCAGGTGAAAATCGATCCTTTTTTAAAATTGAGAAAGGAAGGAATTAATCGAGACTTCAACATAAGAAATCAAAAGTAGAAAAAATTGATCGATATTAGAAATAAAAAAGGAAAAAATCAACTGATTTTAGGAATTTAAGGAATGAAAAATCGACCTATAAGATCGATTAGAACACCAGCGAGACTCAATGATTATGTGATCAATATTGATGAATTATTACAACAATTGGACAAATAATTGGAGAAACATAGGATGAGAATCATCTTGTACATCTAACA